ACCAGACTCAACGATGTCACATATCGAATCCAGAAGAGCCCTCAGGCAAAATTTAAAGTTGTCCACATTCACCGTTTGGCCAGATATAACGATGATTAGGAGTTACCTAATCGGGAGATACCAGGAGTTACCTAATCGGGGCGATCAGGGTTTAGAAGGGGGGGCAGTAGAACGGGAATGGCCTGGGGTACTCACGTTTGGAATGGGGGATCGAAATTCATTGTATTTCAGTAAATGGGAGCCCCATTTGGGCCCCATTTACTGTCAAATATGACACTGACAAGCGGGAAATTTCGCACCTGGACTGGAGATTTCGAGAACCTTCTGGGTTACCTGGAGGAAACTATATAAGCGACGACGAGAACCATGGGGAGTCAGTGAAGTGACAACAGCGACCGAGTTCAGAAGAGGTTAAACCCCGCGAGTCGGAAATCCGAGTTTTGCGTTTGTTATTGTTATTGTTTGTGAAGTTGACGTTAATTTAGAAGTTAGTTTGTTCCTGTTCCGTATTTAAATATATACCGAGGTAAATAAAAGTTGGAAGCTGAAGAAAGAGTTCGATACTCGGCCATCCACGGTACAATATAATCCCGAAAATTGCACTGCTATTCAAAGCAATTCTGAAATCAGATACTTTGAGAAAAGTACTTGTACTTGTTAGTAATATTTTACGATAACTACTGCAAGACTTTTAAATATCAAAATACATTCTGATATTATATTTCTTAATTAAATACCCTCAGGCTTCTTTGGAAAGTTTGCTAGCAGTCAGCTTTCCCAAAATTATAATTAATTGCAATATAACTTGATAAAACATTGAACTAACTAGGAAGCCGAAAGTGACTTCCTTTGTTGGCTAAGTAATAATCAAGTATTGCAATCTATCACTAAGTTCAAACTAGGCTATTTATTCCATAAGATGCTTTTTGCATTAGTGTAATTTGAAAATTACATTTTCTTTAACTCGACAAACAAAACCTTGTTTTGTTCCCTGATTTATTTGAAATTGGTGCATTTTTTAATTTTGGGTTTGATTTTATCTAAAATTAAAGTAAAAAGTTTGAAATTTAATATAGTATTGATT